ACAGTGGTAGTAAGTGGTGGGTGGGGGTGTGGACCCTCTCTGTGCCCACAGCCCATGCTTTCCCCCTTCAGCGTTGGAAGTCGTGTAGCTGCAGACAAATGCGGATAAATAGCACCACTTCCCCATTTGAGAGTGTCATGCTTGGAATAAGATATATTTTTTAAAGCTTTGCTGTCAAGCTTCCTGTCTCATTACCCTTCAGAAAGCGTTTACCACTGCTTTATACATACTAGTTCAAATAATCATTTACTCACGTTGGGCTTTATAATTTTCGCCATTTCACATATAATGGAATATTACTTCAAAAATTTTTTTTTAGTTGATGGTAAGACAGAACATTTTTCAAAATAATGATTCTAAAGGGGGAGAGTTTTTCTTTCGTTGAGCTCTTGTTTAATCCTGATATATAGATGTGATTATAGATCAAGAAGATACAGTTTTCTTTCTATGGGTTTTTAAATGCCTTTCTTCAATTTGTGGTTTAAGGAATTTGGCTGAAAAATTGTGAAATGTTATATTCATAAAGAAACTACTAATAAGCTACCCCCTTAACTTGGTGTTTAGGAGTGAACACTATTAACATAGATATCTTTATTATAAATACTTGGGTGGGTAGGCATACTCTGAAAGAGTGGTAATAAGGGAGTATCTAAGTATAAAAAGCATCAAACTTCTCTTAAGGCTACTAAAATGTATATAGGGACTTGTTCTTTAACTTGGATATCTTTAAAGGGTAGTTGAATTTCCAAACCAGCCTTGGAAAACCTATTTAACCTATAGTATAGCCTAACTGTGCTACCTAATATGTCCAAAATCGATATTCAAATATATATTTAAAAGATATATATTGTGTTCCTTCTTATTTAGTATTTCTGGGGATAGAAAACTTTCTGAGACTTTGGAGGATGTGGGCAACAGTGGCAGCTTCCCAGAAGATCTAGGAAAGTGTGTGTGTGTGTGTGTGTGTGTGTGTGTGTGTGTGTGTGTGTGTGAGAGAGAGAGAGAGAGAGAGAGAGAGAGAGAGAGATGTATAACTCATAGATACATAGCTACATATATAAATACATACATATCTGAAAAGTTATTTGAATAAGGAGGAGTTACAAGAAAGTCTAGTCAGGTAATAAAATTCATCAGAAGCTGAGTAACTAAACCGAGTAACTAAACTAGTTATTTTAAGACCTCTTTGAAAATGGGCTGTATACACTGTGACTTTAAAAAGCATTTATTTCATGGAATTGAAGTCCACAGTGCAGCAGTTATGGAATGGTACCTAGAAGAGAAAAATGTGCTTGGAATAACATATTTAGAGAAATAGTTGAGGACTGTTCTTTATGTGGGTGTCTCTAGTATAACAGATTATATGTGAGAATTGAAAATGGTGGTACTCTGAAATACTCCTATCAATAGAAGGATAGATAGTGAGAATACGAATGGTTTTGCATTAGATGTGACTACGAGCAGTGAATTGTTTTGTTGGAAAAGGCTTCGATTTGATTTGGGTTTTGGTTTCTTTAAGAAGAGAGTAGTACAAAGCAGACGTTAAGATCCTGCAGTGGTACATATTTAGTGTTAAAAATAGTGAAAGTACACAGCAGGATGAGTTTAGATTGTGGATGAATATTTAATAATAAGCCATAAGGAGAGAAGGTTAAAATTAAATAATTTGCACTGTCTAAGTATCTGTTTTCATATCTGAAGTTTCACTGAAAGGCATCTGATGCATTTTGAGAGGTAGAGATAATCTGTGTATTTCATACTTTCGATTTTCAGAAATCTCAGGGTTAAGCTAACATTTTGACATGGGTGCAAATTAACTGAATTTCAAGTAGGGCTGTGAGAGTTTATGGCACTGATGAGAAAGATATTACAAAACAATTTTAGTCACTGATAAGATGAATTTGCTGCACTGTTATCTATAGCATTAAAATATAGACATTCCAATCATTTTCCCATTTTAAATTTCTGCTTTAATTAAGCCTGTTTGGGTCATGCACTGTTTAAAGTCAAGTAAGCAGACCTTTCCTATGCCCTGGCTAATTCAGATTGAATGTGAAGATAGGGCTGCCTTGGGCCCTGTATTGGAAATTTATCCTGAAATCTGATTTACTCAGTCTCTCTGTGGGCCATTCATTCACTCTGCAGATTCTAGCATCACCAGCTCAGCCTCGATTTTCACACTTTCATAGAAAGTTTTATTTTACCTTTTGAAAGTAAGTGTGGAAAATCATTACATTTTGTTGTTCTTAGGCATAAATTCTAACTTGAAGCATTCTGAGGAAACTTAATTCTTACTTTCCAATTTTAGTTTCATTACATGAGGTCATCATATGCATATGTGTGTTGAATTGTGAAGTCAGCACCGTTTGTGACGTCAGTATATTGTTTGAGCAATTTCTGTCGTTTTGAGTAAACATTTTTCTTGACTGGTGAAAGTAACACAGTTAAAATTCCATGAAATTGTGAGTTTTGAGCAAAATCACTTGGCCTACACATATTTTCATTCTGGTGAGATCAATTCCTGGCAAATTCCTATGAAGCCCTCAGGACGGAGTCCGCTGTTTCTCTAGGAAGGCTTTGTTAAAGCTGAGACCTACCTGGATGCTCCCTCCTCACAATGCCTGTAGGATGTCTGCTGGGTTGCACTGTGATCTTTGAAGTGTGTTCTTCGGTGACCTGGTCACCTCTCTTGGACAGCCACCAGCACGTGTCCACTCTGCCTCCAGTGCCTTGCACCATGCACGCGGTGGACCCTTAGTCAATGTGTAATGAGTGGGTCACTCCAGGCATTGCAGGAGCACCAGGGTACCTGCCCCTGAGAAGGTGGGAGGGCAGAGATCGTGGGCAGCCTTGTGTGCGGGGTAGGAGCATGAGGGGAAGGAGTCCTGGCAGTTCGTGTAGCCTTCCATGCTTGGGGGGTAGGGTCTGCGCCCCTGGCACCCCCTCACCTGCGGTTCTCGCTCTGCTCCTGGTCTTCCGACATTGCCCTCATCTCTGCTGGGAGCCTGCCCTTGCTCAGGACAGCAGTTACTGCCCCGTCATCATTGGAACGTCAGGTGCAGCCCACGCGTTAGCACTCACCTCTTGGCCACCTGGGCTGCAGTTGGCGTGTGTCTCCACCTGCTCCCTTCTCGGAAGCACCACACTCTCCAACTCCGTTATCTGACCATTCCTCTGGCCTTGCTGTGGCCTCCTTTTCCCTTCTTCCTTAAGTGATGTCAGACTCTCGAATTTTGTCTTCCACCTGTTGTGCCCTTTTTACATATTCTCTCGGGGTAGTTCTTGGGTTTTACGTGCTTCGTATTGCTGAAGTCATCCAGGATTTGTTGAGGGTGTGCTGTGGGCCAGGCGTGACTCGCGTCCTGCAGGTGCCCTGTGAGTGAGCAGAACAGAAATCGCTGCCTCCAGGAGCACCTGTCCTCAGCCGCCCACTTCCCTACCTAGGACTCGAGGGCAGACCTGACCCCCCAGGCCGGCATGCGTTGTGGTGCTTCTGATATGTTACCTGGACCTCCTGTGGGAACCCGCAGTTTTAACATGCAGAAGAGTGAAGGCTCCCGCCCCTCAGGGAGGGTGGATCTGCTTCAACCCCGGCTCACTGCTGGCTCAACTGGTGTCTTATTACCTGTTAAGCCACCCTTGCCTCCTGTCTTCCATCACTCCCAAGTCGAGCTGCGATTCTATCCTCTTGCTTGAATCTGAGCGTGCTTTCTCCCACCACTGCTTCGGGCCGAGGACCTCGGCTCAGCAGCCTGCTGGGGCAGCCCAACCTGGCTCCAGGCCGCTGCTGGGGGCGCCGTCCTTCTGAAAGGCAGGTGTGACCATAACTCGCTGTTAAAAGCACCCAGTGGTTTCCCCCAAGATGCAACCGGAAGCCTTTCAAGTGACGTGTGAGGCTCACCCACCCACTGGCTTGGGCCCGCTCCAGCTGCTGCTTCTCTTCGCTGGGGTCTCAGCTGCTTCTGTTTCCTTGCACGTGCCAGGCAGTTCATCATTTCATGGAGCCTGTGCTCGATGCCCGATGTTTCTCCTGCTTGGGGGTACTCTGTGCCCTGGCCCTCCCCACCTTGAACGTGGCTTCTTCTGTCAACCCTGCTAATCTTTGAACCTTCCTGAGAGACCCTGTGTCCTCCATGTGGCCCACAGTTGGGCCTCAGAGTCTGGCCCACAGTTGGCATCAGCGTGTGGTTCTGGAAGGAAGGAAATATCTGTGGGCCTTTGTAGCACCTGTGAGGGACTTCCCCCGCCACTGCCTCGCTCCTTTGAAGCATCCGGGGCACGAAAGCCCAGGCCGAGGCTCCGGTTTGGCCCTCCCGAGCGGCCCTTGCTCTGAGGCCCGTGGGCTGACTCACCAAGCCAAAAATAAGACTCAGAAGTCCAGTCTTGAACTGGTTATGTTTGGTCAGAGCCTTACTTGCATTGAGAAGGTGGCTTGTGACTCACAGTCTGAGTGCTTATTCCTGTCACTAGTGATCTTTGAGAAGTTTTGCCCTAGACATTCTGTGTTATCTGAAATCTGTCCTTTCACTTTCTAATGAGCACTCAGACACATTAATGTTTGATCAAGACTTGCAGACTCAGGTCTAAAATAAGGTAATTGTTCTAAGAATACTTTGAAGTCAGGAAGGGTTCCTAACCACTCACTATACTTTGCTTTTGTTACTGGGAAGCTGAAAGAGCTGGGTGAGGTTAACTATCATGCCCATTTCCTGTATGCATGGTAGAATTTTAGATGAATGCAAAATCTTTCCATATATTGTTTGTTCCAGATCCCTTTTAATTATTAAAGCCTTGCTAAAAGTTAAAAAATTAAATGTCTTGTATCCACGTAGTTTTTTTTTTTTCCCTTAAATGTTTTTCTGGGTTTTGTCAGGTCATTGTTTTTCATATTTTCACAAGTAAGGAGAGTTACATTTTTAATGTCTGTGTTAGCATAATAGACATTTCTGTCTCTGCAATAATGAGGTAATAAGCCTACGTCTTCTTTTACTTCTTCACAGGGCAGCCCAATGGATCCCATGGTGATGAAGAGACCCCAGCTGTATGGCATGGGCAGTAACCCTCATTCTCAGCCACAGCAGAGCAGCCCTTACCCTGGAGGTTCCTACGGCCCCCCAGGCCCACAGCGGTATCCGATCGGCATTCAAGGCCGGCCCCCCGGGGCCATGGGAGGCCTGCAGTACCCCCAGCAGCAGGTTTGTGCTAGGTTTCACTGCACTTCCTCCCACACTTGCTCCTAGTGTTGCTTTGTCTTCTCCTGTCTACTGAAGCTTAGTTTTGAGACTAACCTTGAAATGTTGGGAAGCATTTCACGGATTTTCTGCTTTTTAAAAATTTTCATAGTTTCTTGAAATGATCACAGGCACAACTGTTTCCCCATCTCTTTTAAAAGCAGGAAAAGTGAGCTTCTTAGAACAAAGTGGACACAGTTCCTGTTCTATTTGAAAGATTGACCGTGTCATCATTGTGCAGCAAATTGTATAGATCGGAGCCCCGAAGTGAATTTGGCTTTCTAATATTTCTGATGGCAGACAGTGTCAGATTTTGAGCTGTGAATAAACTTCTTAAGGTGAAGTTTTAAGTTATTTAAAGGTTTTTCTCATAAAAATGGCATCAGCTTAAGTTTTCTTTAGTCTGCCCCCAAATTATTTTGCTTTTATTTCTTGACGTATTTCTTCTGTAACTTTTGAAACAGATTTCTGTGTTTCTTGTAAGAGAATTTCACGTGTATCACTTCTCTTAGGTTTGATGAGTTTTGTGTTTTTACATAAAACAAGCAAAAAAGACTTTCTGCTCTTAAAAAGAAAAATACTCTCCTTTTTCTCTAGAGTCAAATAGTTGGAGTTACCTTAAATGACCGTCTGCCTTCTGGCAGTAGTAAGCCCTCAGTCTCTTGGGCCCTGGAGAGTGTATTCTTGTAATGTTGGCCTGAGGAGATTCAGACTTGTTTCAGGTTTAGTTACTAGAAACACCGGAAAGGGTGATGTGTACGTTCCCACACCAGGCCTTTAATCCAATAGTATACCAGTCTGATGCCCACCTGGGTGTTTTCTTCTTCCCAGATAGGTTATTCCTGAGTGCTACCAGCAGCCTGCTCCAGAGTCTCACAGTTGCTCTCTCTCAGGAAGTTCTTCTCGGCATTTGACCAAAAATCACTGTGGAAAAAACATGGAACTTTGGTTCTCTACAGTGGATGTATGCTGTATCATGCTTTCTATGCTTTGTAGCTGTGTTCAAAGGTTCATGAATAAGTTTCATCCTTTTAGAGACTGAAAATTGTCTTTCCTCTTTATCTTAGTTTCTGCTTCAGTGATACTTTTATTTTAAGGCGGTTGTAGGGGAAGATAGAAGCAGTTCAGCCTTTGAATCCCAGGTGTTGGTTCTTTAAGTGGTCTTTGTTCTCGTTAGAAGTACTCACCCCTTGTTTATCAAAGATGGTGTGTGAGTCACTCAGTCGTGTCCGACTCTTTGCGACCCCATGGACTGTAGCCCACCAGGCTCCTCTGTCCATGGAGTTCTCCAGGCAAGAACACTGGAGTGGGTGGCCATTCCTTTCTCCAGGGGATCTTCCCGAACCAGGGATTGAACCCAGGTCTCCTGCACTGCAGGCAGATTCTTTACCGTCTGAGCCACCAGATTGGCCACTCAGAATTCTAGCAGTCGCATACTTAATTGTACTTTTAATTTTTTTTTTAACATTACTCCTTTCTTCTAGTAATACTTTGCCACCTAGAGTAAAACTCTTTAGTTGAGACTGCTAATTATGAGGAGATAATTTGTAAATGATTGAAAAGTCAGGTGAGAGCTGTGATCCCCCCCCCCCCCCCCCGCCTTTTTTTTAAAGTTTTAAAGCTAATTTCCCCATAGATGAGGGGAAGAAGGCCCAGGTAGGCAGCTGCTCCGGTCCTGATCACCAGCTGGGTTTGTCTGGGGCCGACAGTTGCGTGTGGGACTCTGGCCACAGGGGGCGAGCCGGGGCGGCGGGGCAGCGGGGGAGTGGAGGCCGCCCCGCCTCTTCTTGCACCTTCCTTTCTGCTATGTTTCCCCGAAGGGAAATTTGGAGAATCATTTCAAAAGGAGCTCTTCATGGCAAGCTGCTGGATGAACGTTCTCCTCTGAATGAGTTAAAGTCTTTTTTTTTAGATTAATTAATTAATTTTAATTGGAGGATAATTACTTTACAGTATTCCAATGGTTTTTGTCATATAGCAACACGAATCCGCCACAGGTATACATGCGTCCCCTCCATCCTGAACCCCCCCCCGCCCCAATCCCTCCATTCCCTCCAGGTTGTCACAGAGACTGGCTTTGGGTGCCCTGTGTCATACGTCAAACTTGCACTGGTTCTTCTACATATGGTAACGCGTATGTCTCTGCTGCTCTGTCGCATCATCCCGCCCTCTCCTTCTCCCACTCAGTCCAAAAGTCTGTTCGGCATGTAGGCTCATCGGTACCATCTTTCTAGATTCCATATATATGTATTAATACACGATATTTGTCTTTCTCTTTCTTGAATGAGTTAAAGTCTTGTTAGAAGTTTAAGACATTGGCTTATTTTGCAGTCCCAGAGTGGGAGTCTAACATTCTTCACAAATGTGAAGAATGATTACCTGGGAATATTTTTTTCATTGTTTTCTTCCCACATACATAAGGCTAAAAGTGGAGGACGTACACAGTTACGTAGAATAACTGCAGTTTTCTTTGCCTTTTTGTTTTATTTAATCCCCTCGGATCTTACATACTTTCTAAATCCAGTAACTCTTGGATTTATTTGAAGGGACAAATTGATAAAAGATTACTCACCAATGTTTTAGCAAATTTTTAATTACGATTTTAGATTAGGTGTTTTACTGCTAACCAAAAAAAAGCCTAATTCTGTTTAAGCACAGCTCTTTCTATAATGAAAGGAAAATAGGGTATCTAGTAAGAAACGGAATGCCCTGGCTATCAAACTTCCATATTTGGGAGTTAATCATAATAAAAAATTCTAAATAATCTGTATTGCTCTTTTACTTTTTCACTTAGTTATAGTATAGCCTTGAAATGACATATCTTATTTTGAAATCTGAAAGGCTAAAAAGAACTGCTAATGCATTTTTGAGTGTGTGTAACATTTTAAAGGGGAGTCATACAGCATAATACCAAGTTTATGTGATCAGGTAGGTGTAGTTTAGTTAATCGCTTTGGAAAGGAAAAAAACGGTGCAGGTTTTGGTGAAGGTTATTAGAGCACGTTTATTTTGTTAGCTTTAGTCTGTGTTTGGTGAGGAATTTTCAGTGAGTTGCTTTATTCGCAAATTTTGGATAATTATAAAGTTGGTCTGCAAACAAGGTCCTGGCACAGTGATTGGCTGCTGGTCCTTTCCGTCTTCTCTTAGGCTAAGGCAATTGGCCAAGGATTGTTGTGGTCATGACTACTGGTGTTCCTCTGGGAAAAAGTTGGAAGATAATGATGACATTGAGTTTTTATTGAGTGGACATCACCACCTAGGCATGACTTTACTTTGGATGACCTCCAAAGCTTTCTGTGCTTGGTTTGTGAACCTCTAATGAGCTGAATCCAGTTCATTTAATATTGCTCATATACTTCTGCAAAGGATTAAAATTCAGGAATTCAAGTTTGTAAATTGAGTAAATTGAGTTGCCCACTTACCAGCTGAGTGGTAAGTTGTCTTTGGCTCAGGGGTCACAGTTTTGATTCCTGGCTGGCATTCTATTCCTGTGATAGGAATTTTAAATGAGTATGTGTTCAAAAGAACCACAGTGCGTATATGAAATTTAACATGCTGAGTATCACTGCTTACTTTTTATCTCTGAGAGTCAGGGGGAACTGGCCACTGACTGTTTGATTTTAGTATTAACCTAGTGATTCTTGATTTGTATGGTGATAATTTTATTTTTGAAATATACTCATGACTGGGTCTTTGAAGCATGACGTGATAATAGTACATCATTTTGGTGTTTATTAACTGGAACTAGACTTGTGGTCTTTCACTTGCTGATTCTCACACATCATCAGGCAAATACATGGCTAAACAGATTAGTTTTGCACGGTGCCCTGGAAACTAGTCTACTTGGTTTTTTATTGAGCTGAGAGGGGAAATGAATTTTCTATGCCTCTGTGAAGAATGTTCTGCCTCTAGGCTCCTGGAATTCAAACCTGGGGATGGTTAACAGAAGTACACTGGTTGATTTCATCTAATACAGAGCTACACAGAGGATATATAATCTGTAAGGCTGCTAGAATCTGCTTCTGTTTTTTTAAACTTAGACACCAATGTGTCCTTTGCGGGATCAGGGATGTGGGTAAGCAAATGTTTTATTTCATTTTTATTGTCCTTTGTGATTGTAAATGTATACATAGGCCTATGCTGACTTGCTCTAAAAAAGGTTTTTCATAGAAATAGCACCAAGAAGAAGTAGGTTACAGAAGCCAAGTTATATTTATTTGTGTCAAGCGGATTTCAGTGATGTTGTCTGAGATTTTTCGCGAGTTATCAAGGGTTAATTGAGTTGATATTTTAAGTCTGTGTCTTGTTGCAGATGTTTGGATAACCTGATACATGTTGGAATTACACCACCAACCCTGGAGTTATAAAGCAGGGAAGGAGAAGAGGGCAGGGTGAGCGCCTTTGTGATGGAAACATGACTGTTAGTTTTTAAACACACGTGTGTATTGTGAAGGCCTTTACAACAGCAGGGATATGGAGCAGAATGATTGCTCCATGCCATGGCAGATACCATGTCAAAATTAAATAGGATTAGTTATTTTTGTTAAGGTGACCCATCTGCACTTACCACTTTCAATCTAAATAACAACTGACTTTAAAACTGAGGTTGTTTTGAAAAAGACTTTAAAAATGAATAGATGTTTTAATTTGTGTCTTTATCTTCTACACCCTCTGGATATGTATTTTGCTATGTGCTTGTGGAGTGAAACATTTATTTCAGAACATAAGCATTTTATTTGGTACCATCCTAACAGCCAAAACACTTCTTCCAGTGCAAATGTTTATTTTGGCAGCAGATGTTTCTAAAAGGAGACAAACATTACAATTGTTTGGCTAAAATAAATGTTTTCTTTGGGGTTATTAAGGAGCCAAGTGAGTTCTAGGATTCCCACCTGTGTTACTTTGTATTGTCAGTCTATTCTGGGAAAAAATTTGCTTATTAAAATGTAGTTAAAATCAACATAT